TTTTTTTTCTTTTTGTACCAGGGATTGAACCCAGGGGCACTTAGCCATTGTGCTACATCTTCAGCCCTTTTTATTTTTTATCTTGAGACAGGTTCTCAGTAAGTTACTTAAGGCCTAAGTTGCTGAGACTGGCTTTGAAATTGAAATCCTCTTGCCTCAGCCTCCCTAGCCAGTGGGGTTATAGGCGTGCACCACTGTGACCAGAAATATGTATACTTTAATAGATTTATTTAAAAACAGCCCAGATAAAAGCATTGTAGTACGCTAAGATTTAACAGATAGTTTAGTGTTTTTTTTCAATTTTTTTGTTTTATATTATAAACTGAGATTCAGAGCCACAGATAAAGCAAAAATCCATATAATACAGCTAAGATTTAAGAGGAAATTGAAGAATCTGTATTCACAACAACAGAAAAAGTTCAGTATTCATTATAAATAGTATTTATCTCTTTTCACTGGTTTCATGATTTCTTCATATTAGATATGACTGATTGTTTAGTAATAATAGCTACCATTTATAGAGTACATATATGTTAAGTATTATGTAATCATTTCAGAGATTTATCCTCTTTCAGCCCCAACCCTTTACAAAGTACTCTATTTTTAATACTTGTACCAGATCACACATCTAATAAATGTCAAAAGCCTGAATTTGAAACCAGCTTCCAAGCCCTTACTTCATTGACCCATTCGTTTCTTCCCTGTGACGTATTCAGGTCGCTAAGGCATGCAGTCCTCTGGTGATCTGATCCCAGGCCACATTTCTTCCTTTGCTTACTGTAATCCTTCAGAAGACTTCCTGGGAGGTCCAAGGAATTAAATAGTAGCTCCATCCTCCTACAGCTGTGATTTTTAAAAAATTTATTTTCCACATTTTTTCATTGGTGCATTATAGTTGTGCATAGTGATGGGATTTGTTTTTACATATTCATGCATCTACACAATATGACAATATAATTTGGTCAGTATCATTCCCCAGCACTCCCACACAGCTGTGATTTTTTTAATGAAGGATCCTCATCAGATCACCTCTGGGGCTTTTTAAAACTATAAATAATCAAATAATGTGATTCTATCCCCTAAAGATTCTGATTCATGTTATCTGAGTAGGGTGTGATCTTCTGTATTTTAAAGAGACAAACAAAATTATTCTCATGAATAATAGTTGACTAAAAATTTCTAGGATACTTCCTTTTTTGTGTGTGTGTGTTGCTGGGGATTGAAAGTAGTGGCATTTTATCACTGAGCTACATCCCCAGCCCCCCCCCCCCCCCTTTTTTTTTTTTTTTTGGTGTTGTCGGCGTCAACCTGAGGGGGCTTGGTCCCGTGTGGGTGCCGT